TTCAAAGGATGGAAAAAGGTTGTATGTAGTAGTCAAGTTTCTGTTTTAAACTCGGCAAGACTGCAGAGTCTGTGCACTATGCTCGTTCAGTTTCTAAATATTCAGACCATGGGGTTCTCAGGCCCAGATCAGAAATTAAGGTAGTTTTTGGGTGCTATCCCTGTTCAGAAGGCCAGGATGAGGTATTCAGTGATTGAGGAGCTTCGAACCAACTTAAACAAAAATCTGTCGTCGTTTTACATAACAGTACACGAATGTTTGTCTTCATCATCTTACAGTGTCTGAGTCTTCCTTGTGATTTCTCTTCTTGATTTGTCCATCTCAGCAAGATGGTTCAGTGTCTGCTCACACCAAGCCCTTTTCTTCCGGACACCCAGAAGAGGGCATCTGGGTCCGCATGGGACCTGCAGCTGCAGAGGTTATGGCAGTAGCAATGTACTCACCCGTGCACTGCTCTCCTCATTCCAGATTCAGATCTCATTCTTAGATGAAGGATGTGGAATAAAGATTGTGTGCACATCTGATGTACTAAAGAAGGTTTTATGTACTGCAGTTAGTTCTGTCCCAAAAAGGCTCTTAAAATTATACGGGCCTAATACATCTGTGGTTCACTGTAGCAAGAGAATTATCAGTATGTTTGTCCTGTGTTGTGAACACACACTGTGTGGTTCTGTCTCGTGCTTGTTTCCACATGTTTCTTTACTCACTCTTTAACTTGGAGAGACTCAGAAGTACAGAAAAAGAAGTCGTATGTAATACTTTCAGAACAAGGTTCATAATACATGTAAGATATTTACAATAATCCAGCAGTTGGTTGCTGGAGAAAGCTCCCTACTGTTGCAGGACTTTGAACTCTGCTGTGCTTTCTTTGTAGGGCCTCAGTATGTCTGGTGGAGGTCAGACTGGCTTGGGGACTCCTTCATCCAGGCAGTATGCGCGACAGAAAATAACACGTGTAAACCTCAGGGACTTCATCTTCTACATGGAACAGGAAAGAGAAACGAGCCGTTCTCTCCTGCTCTATCGAGCTTTGCTTAAATAAAGCCAAGAATTGTACTGATTTCTCCATACAGAAGTTCAACTTGCATTGAAAGCTGTCATTTTAATGTGCCTTCTATTTTTTTCAGAAGTCAATGTTCCGGTAATTTTGTTTTGTAAAACCGTCAGACACATGCAATAAATTCCCTTTATGTAAAAAAGAAAAAAAAATGTGCAAACGGTTTTAAAATGTTAAATCCACAGATGTAACCAACTTCAAAGGCTTACTGCGTTTGGCCACGTTAGATAAGGCTAAAATAGATGGCATTGAAGTTACACAAAGAGAAAGAATGCCGCAGTGGCTCACAAAGATGTCATGGCCAGGAGGATCGGGACCTGAACGGGGAAAACCTTTGTGTTCACTGACAGTGCTGGTTTTCCTTCAAGGTTTGCTAGCGCTGTTTCCACTGAGCATGGTAATACCTGTTAGATTAGATATAATTGCAATTTTTTGCACAGCTAAAAGAATAACCAATGCACGCTGCCACAAATTTGATATATTTAGGATTTTTGCTTTTACAGCCCAGCGCGTTCCTTCAGCCATTTGCTGAACCAAATCCTAAGTGTATGAAATCTGTGCGTCTGGGTCCCAGCCACAGTCCATTGAGTAGCTTCCCGTTGTTGTCTGAATCTCTTCAACCTTTTGCACATTTGTAGCAGTTAGTAACATGAATCCTTTTATTTTCTAAAAATATCTTAATTTATTTATTGCAAAGAGTATGGTTTAATGATGGTTATAAAAGAGAGTATTGTTTGGGAAAGATTTTAGAGTATTCTATATGGATTATTAAAGTCACTGTAAAGGAGGCTTTTGGGATCTGGTTCCCCTTGGCAGTCACGAGAGCCAGGCTGTGCCCTGGGAGCCGGTGCTGCGGGGACTGGTGGTGCTTTACGCGGACGATTGGACCTGAGGACTCCAGTCCAGAGAGGCTCATGAACAAGTGCATGACTTTAAGCATATGGGTAGTTGTCAGTACTTACGGTGGGATGAATGCTTTTTAAACGCTTTGCTGAATTGGATTTTTGGGGGCCCACACCAAAGTCAAGCAAAGTTGACGCAAGTGCGAGTCTTTTTAAATGGGTATTGGATAGGAATGCTCAGCAGGAGGTGGGCACGAGCCGTACTTCCGAGGTACAGTGTTTCCAGTAGCCGTGGAAGGGAGACGTTTGCTTATTTATCTTTTCAATTTTTACTACGTTATGCTTGCCACTTTTTTGAGGCAATATTTTTTTTTTAATGGGAAACCGTAGCGAAAGCACAAATAGAACTATTTGTCCAATAGTTTTAAAAACAAAAGTTTTAATTATTTTTTAAGGTTTATGAAAAGCAGAAGAAAATTTATACTGCTGCTATTTAGCCAAAAGATTATTCATAAGGTATTTAAGGCCAGGAAGTGTAAAATTATGTTTTAAATGTATTGATAATTTGTACATATTGTTTATAAAGGCCTTGTGTTTATTAGAATTACGTTATTTTGATGATTTCTGTACATACTCGTAAATACCCCCAATTTGTGTGAAAACATACTCCCTTATTTGTACTTATTTTGTAAAGAAATAAAACAATTTACTAAAGTAACACATCGAGTGACATAGTATTAATTTATCAAACATGAATTTCACATTGTCTGGTAGTTCTTAAGCACTGTTCAGAAACATTTTGCATTAAAATATTAACAGGATACCCACAAAGAAATATTAAAACCAAATACTTCAATGTTCTGTTGTGCTGATTCTTATCCTTTGTCAAACATCTAATAAAATTGTCAACAAACCTTGATGCTATTAATGCAGTGAATGAACGCATTCAACAGTTGCCTTTTCGAGGGCGATCGGTCCAATAAGCACAACATAACATTCATCCATTTCTTTTCAGATGTGGGAGCAGAGCGGTGCCACAGGGTTGTACAAAAGGGCTTGCAAAGACTGTTCTTCAAGCCACAGCTTTGGAGCTCAGCAAAAAAAGGGTCAGAACAATTCTGTTCCATCAAATTAGGTTAAAACCAAGCTACGTTTACTTTTTGGCCTTTGTAATGAAAACATTTGCTGGCTGCACACCACGGTTTTAGTGGAGATTCTGCGATATTTTAAAACCTGTTTTAGCAACACTAAGTGATGTTCTTAATTAAGTTACGTTGCTATAGTTTAAGGCCAGAAGTAAAAATTCAAATCGGTTTTTGCTGATATTGCAGCCTAAGAATAGAGGGAAATAAGTAAAAAAGATATAAATGAAACTGTAATAAACTTTAAATAAGTGACCTGAAGTTACTAACAAAAAAAACATGTCCTAGCTTAACTTTTTTTTTTTTAAAAGGCATATTTCTTCTAACAAAGTGATTGTTTCCACATGTCTTCCTTGCCTTAGTGCTATTCTGCAGTCAATGCTGTGATGTCATGGCCCAAACTTTCCGTCTCAAGTTCACATGAACACGGCTGGCGCAGCCTGGAACTTTTCATGCTGCCACCTTTGCAAACTGCTGTAAGTACTGGAGCTGCCTTACTGAGCAGAAAAACTAGCGGTAGACACCAGACTGAAGAAGAAGAAACCAACCAACCATGAGTACTTCCAGTGACTGTCTGCATACACCTAAAAGCACCCTGCTTCCAAGTGTGTAAGAGTGCTGGCTGCCTTCAACTTCAGTGCAGGTGGGCCATGCTCAGCACCACGCAGGTACGCAGCGCCGCTCCTCTGGCAGACAGCCCGTGTGCACCTCTGCGTGGCTGAGCCTGAGTAAGAATGGCAGATCGGGGTGTTTTTAAATGGAGGTGTGACATATTCACCTTTATCTCCTAGCTGAGTGGTAATGAAAGGAGGAGGATGCACAGACATGCGTTCAGCCTCTGCTAGTACTAAGTCTCCCTGGTCAGAAATGCAGGACGAAAGCATACATAGGATAAAAACAAGGAGCAGAATGGACTATTTAAGGACATTTTGAACTTCAAGTCAACTCGATGTATGAAAGTAATAAATAAAACTGTTTTTTCCTTCTCTTTTTGTAAGACGTGGCTACATCAAGCTGAATGGAGCAAAAGGCCAGAGGAGATGCAATCAGAACTTCTCACTTTTCAAACGACGTGGGAGATACAGTGAGTGTTCCACCCTCCTTGCTTATTTTCGATCATTTACTTTACAGAAATGTTTATGGCATGAAGAACTGTATAAGAAATGTGCATACACAAATACATGACAATTATACGTTAAGTTCTTTACAATATTAAATGTATAATATACAATTCTACAGATATCTTACATACAAAGGTGAATGTTGTGCCATATATTCAAATATGGCAATGCTTAGGAACTTTAGAGTGTCGTACAAGTATAAAACCACAAAATAAAATAACTTTACAACTCTTTTGAAGTAGACAGATTTGCTCAACGGTTTTGCTAAGTTAGCAGGTCAATATGTATAGGCTAAGAATTTCCTAAGAGATTTCTGATTTGGGCAACCAGGGTGAAAAAAACCTGCTGAAGTCTGATTTTCCATGGACTGGCATCCCATGTTTATCCAAAAAAACCAGACCTCTGCCAAGGTTGCAGCTTTGCATATTTAGTACAGGTCGTCACTTCAAACACATCAGTCTTAAACTTGAATCTTTATTTTGCCTGATTGTAATCTTTTGGTATTAAAGAATTGTTAACCATCAAATACTGTTATGTATGGCCATATTTATGCATCTAAAAAGTTTAATTAGAATTCAGCATCTACAACAGTATTCTATAAATGAACGTGGGAGAAACTAAATTGTGACTAACACGTGAATTAGTTATTGAGGACCCAATTTGCTAAACAGCAATAAAGAGGATTCAGCAAATGCTGTTTATATCCTTGCACCTGCAAACATGGTGCTGTCTCCTGAGTTAGGAAGCCCTGTAAGTCAGAGAGCTGATACTGATTCATGAAAGGAACAGTAACCTACTACAGACACTGGGCTTGTTTGAAGAGAAAATTAAACAGATAGAGGGCAGATACACAATTGGCATTTTAATAATAGTTTAAAATATAGAGGAAAAACAATCTAAACAAACCATGGCCTGCTTTCATTGGACAGTGGAAGGTAGAGGGTTTTAACATCTCTTTGCGAAAATTCCAGACCCATAAAGAGTTGGTTGTCCCCATAAACATGGTTCATAAATGAACAACAAGAGGCAGCAGAGCCATGATTCTCCTGTGATGCAAAACTTAGTTTCTGAGTCAAAACGTGACTGGCTTTGAGAGCTACAGCTCCACCGTAGGTGTGTGGCCCTTGTTTGACGGAGTTTTATGTTGTGCTTCCAAATCCCTACTTTTGCATGTATTGCCATAATTGGCCTTCTCAATTTTTTGTTGCTTTTTTTTTGTTTGGTCTGTTTGCTTGTTTTTCAGTACTGAGCACCAGTTGACTATAAATCGGTCCTTTTCTGATTCTAGATTCTGTCCACAGAAAGATATTTCAGTTGGAAATGTTGTATAAAAATAAGCCATTTGCTAGCATGAATGAGTACAATCACAGAAGTGTAATGTAACGGTACGGAGGTGTAAAGCACATCTGATATGAGGAGGTATGGCAGCCAGGGGGGTTCTCAGTGCAGTTAGTGATGTACCATCTTCCTCTCGGAGGCCGCACTTCTGCACGTCACGTCTGCGGTGTCGTTGGGAAGGCTGTCGGAATCACTTCTCCTGCTGATAGATTCAAATTGCTTTAATTGCTCGTTCTGCAGAAGTCTGTTCTGGGGTCGGGGTTGTACGAAGCTTTGCCTTTTGCACCACACAGCTGTTCAGCTCAAAGGACGTTCCCACCGGGCCTGGTATGCTGAGCATGCTCAGTAATTTCATCGTGGAGAGCAGACAACTGATTTTTCAAATGCATCTCATGGCTGGCTACATGACAGGTAGTTTCAGAATACCACTAATTGGCAACATAAAGTCAAAATCTGTTTGCTAATACTGTTTTGCAAATCCTTAGTGTTTCACATAAGGGACTATTAAACACTTCTATGGTTACAGAGGAGTACAGGTAGGGTCTAGTCCAGGGGCTCCTGTTTTATTCTGATCGTTGGGGTGGGTTGCGGTCGTCTGTCTTCACGACACAGCACGTATTCGCTGAACTGAGAGGAATCCACCCCACCACCACAGGAGGCTGCCATATTAAATCCCTTCTGAAATAACCTTTCAAGCACCTGCAACGTGGAAAAAAAAATCAGCTGGATATTTAGCAATTTTAGTGATAAAAGCTTTTAGAAGCACTGGATCTAAATGATGGATTTAGTCTTTTCAGTCTTCATAGAACGAATTTTATTCAGCTATAATTCTGTAACTTAGTCTTAAATGACTACACTGTGATTAAAGTCTCGCTCTCAGCAAACCTCTGCAGAAAACAAAAATTAATCAAACAAATAAGTGCTCCACAGAACAGCTTACTACATTATGTAGTAAAATACTGGACTGCAGTGATATCGATGCTATCTCTTACTGCTTAGACAAATCAACAGCAGGTTTAAGTCATAATAAAAAGTGCCCATTATTCATTAGTATTGTGAACAGCCTTGCAGATAAGGGCTGAAAGCATTTGCAAGCTCTTCTTTAGGAGATGAAAAGGTTTTAGGAATCTGAGTGACACTTGCACCAGACCTTCATGGAAATCACAGCTGTGATTTTCCCTTGCTGGAAGGGAGTGCTGCTTCTAGCAAAGCATGGCAAAGACAGGATGTGGAGCCAAGACATGGACAATAAGGAAACATTCTGGCCCAAGAATGAGGTTAATTTGTATTGCCCAAATATATATTTTCTCTTTCTCCTTCTAAAGAAAAGTTGGTGCAATTTAGATGCATGAATTTAAGGAACCCAGAGGCAACTTTAATTTCTTAGACTGTCACACAGCACATTACTGCAGGATATACTGATCTTGGCAATATGACGGGGGCTTTGTTTTCACATGGGTGAGCATGTTGATATACAGTTTCCCAGCAGAGCAGGAAGCACACAGACTCTTTGCAGCATTAGGTGACAGTGGATGCCAGATCCACCTTGGGCAGATCTGCAGTGTAAGATCCACTGGAGGAGATGCTGCGCTCCCTCCCTCCGGCAGCTCACCTGAGCCCAGGGCAATAGCACAGTGTCTCCAAAGACATCTCAGCATGACAAAAGGCACTTAGGCACCCTTTAGTGCAGGGGAGATTCCTACCTATTACAGGGGGTCAGAGGGTTGGGCAGGGCTCTGCTGCGTGACATACAGTAGAGATGAACCAGACCCACATGTTAAGATTGGCTGAGTAACAGGAATATTCACACCCACGTGTGAATGCTCCTCCAGCCAAACCTTTACCACAGGCCATGGCACTGTAAGCACTAAGCCAAATTACCATGTAGGCTACTAACACTAATAATACTCCAGCACATACATGAAAAATCAGAACTGGGTCTGAAATTTGTACCATAAAGTGAATTAACTGATCCAACATTTATTTTACAGGTGGGAAAAGTGGTTGCATGAGTTTCTCTGCAGAAAAATGTCACCAAGGGGAAGCCTCCTGCACTGCTCTGTGCGACAGCCCCGCCGCGGTGCCGCCATCACGTGTGCCCACCACAGTGCCAGGAGAACCTGGTCGTTCCCTAAGCCTGACAAACGTAGTAATGACCCTCATGTGACTCTGCAACCAGCAACTCTAGGGACTCAGTTAAAAACTTGGTCAATTTAGGTAAGCGTCTCAGCAATATCTCCTGCTCCTGAAGGAGACAACTTGTGTGCTTTCGTGGTTTTGCTGCAGAGATAATTTGATTTCTTTTTAGTATCACCATGAGTGACTCTGTGAAGCGCTTCAATACTTACTGCAATGGCACCTCAGTCTTAATGGTTCAAGGCCTGAGCTAATTGCTTACAGAGGTACTAAAAATAGTGCCATGTTTGCACACCAGACTCTGCCCTCACCCCTGCACACAAACCCACGTGAGGCCAAGGTGAGCATTCCTTCTGACTGAACGCGTGCTTTGCTTGCCATGCAGAATCTGCTCAAAATCAGCTTGCCCTGAGGAGTCTGGCCTTGGGACAAAGTGCCTTATGAGCTCAGGAAGTTGTGCCAACCAAATATTTTCCCTGAAAGTCGTAGAAATGAAAGTGCAAAAAAGCATCCCAGTATGCAGAAGAAAAAAGGACCCAGAGAGATTAAAAGAAGGGTTAAAAAAAAGAAAAAAAAGAGACAAAGAAATATAAAAAGCTTACCCTCTATCTTCTGGGCTGTGCACAGCCTTTAGGACAGAAGTGAGGTAACGCACAGCTCCCAGTATAGTTTTACTAACACTTGTTCCTGCTCAGAGAAAGCAGGAGTTTGCTAGGGAGGGAGGAACAAAACATCACCGAGCTGTTTCACAGGCTGGCATGTGCTTTGACTTTGTGTGTCCCTGTTCTTAACCCAAGCAAGCAGGCAATATGAGGACAAGAGGCAGCTCAGCTACAGGAAAGGAGGCTTCTTCCGTTTAACTGGGCAGAGAATCAGAGGATTGACAGGTAAAATTTCAGGGAGAGATGTGACTTCAAAACCTTGCTAAAAACTTTTAAAAATCAATTTGGTTGTAAGACAAAACAAGCACTGGGGTGCCCTTGGCTTGCCTCAGTCCAAAGCAATGGAAGGCTGCATGTTAACACAGGGCTTTTCTTTCCCGAGCCAGCTGTGTGCAAACACACAACCCAGGTAGGCATTACACCCTTAGAGCACCGCATGCAGAACAAAGCGATTCATTTTTGCTACCCTTGCGCTCAGAGGACTGGGCTGCAGGCTATCATCTAGGGTTAGAAAGCGTGGGATCATCAATTTTCTGGGCAAGAAACAAAACTGGTCAAATCCTGTAAACAATGCTGTGAATGTTTAAATACTGTAGAGTTTTAAGGATAACTCGAACGAGGTTGTGCTCAGTTCTATGGAGAAAGTCTCCCAAGGGCTGTTTTCCATGTGCCTTAAGCATTTGTTGGTATGCACCAATGCATGCATGAGACTAAATGGCATGTTGAACATGAACAGATTTAAATTCCACTTAGTGAACTTGGCCCTATGTGCATTACTTTTTTGAAGGTAATAGACAGATGGAGGGAAAGCAGTAAGTGCCTGTAAATAAAATCTGAGCTACTTTTCTATAAATCTCCCACAAGAAAATGCCAAAAAGCAAATGAGTATCAGCTGTGACTCTCCTACATATAAGAAGACAGGCACACAATATTGAATAGAGGATTTGTGCTAAGATTTAATATACTCTGTCTCCCAGTATTCTGAGCACATCGAGATATGGGCTCTGATTTTGTTGGGAGGTTTTCCAGATAAAAACATGATATTTTCACTTCCTGCATTTTATTTACATTTTGCAGAATGCTAAAAGAATGCAGTCTTAATTATGAAGACTCAGCGTTTAACATAGACGCACATCAGAGAATTTTCTCCAAGGTAGGCTCATGGATCTCACCAGCATCTGTTGTGAGGTGTTGAGAAAAACAGTCTCAGTCTTAGGAAAACGATACCAATAGGCGATTACAAGTGGACATTAAATAAGAGCTGCTGTTTTTTGGTTGCCACTACCTACTCAGTGTTGACATTCTGTGTTTTATATGTACAGTTCTTGACAGAAAGCATTTAATGAAAATCTTTTTAAAAGTGCTGAAGGATTTATAAATATTGCAGTTGTGCCACCAAATACCTGAAGCAGGACAGTGGGGGACAAAAGCAATGCATCTCAGTAAACAGCAGGCAGATTTATCACAGCACTCCCAGATTCTTTCAGTGTGCTTCTGCTCCGCCAGCCACTGCACCTTATAACTGATCTCCCTTAACTCCACGCTGTTCACTCCACCATTCTTCCATCTACTGACTCAGTATTGTTTTGTCAAAGAACTGGGAAGTGTAGTGCCCTTGTGTAAGTGAGAGTCCATCACAGTCAGTGATAATTATTTCTGATCACATCAGGCTTTTGTCTCAGCAACGCATCATTTTCCAGAAAGTGTTTGAAAACGCTCTCTATTCATTATACAGTAAAGTGATGTAATTTAATAAAATTATTTAGACTGTAGACTCTGACATAGAAATTTTCTTTCGTAATATGAACCTACAAAGTGACTCTGACTGATTTTGACTGAATTCGAAACACATTCTAATAGTAATAATTGACATCCAGTTTTAATTACAAATAGTTGTAAAAGCCACTTAATAGAGCCAAGTGTGAGCCTCAGCTGCTTGCCGTGCTGCGCTTATCAGTGACCAGCAGTGACCCTTTATTGTTTCAGTTACTCTAATTTCTTGAATGCCCCTGACCATATTGCATGAACAGAGTGTGGCTGAAACACAAACATGCTTCTCTACCCACTCACCTTAGCTGAACTGCAGCTGCTCCCCTCTCCAGCTCAGTGGTGAATTCATCACTATTCCCGCTGCTAGAAAATGGATCTGCCTCTGACCCACCTCCAGCCTTCTATTTTTGGGGCAGCCCACTCCAACCCGTGCTGAATGTGAAATTGCTAAGGACTGTGCAAAATTAACCACAGGCAATGGACTGTTAAGTTCAACCAAATAAAACTCAACCAAATAAAAAGAGTTTTAAACTAAAAATTAGGTAAATCACTGCTTTTTAGAATGGTTTCAGATGAAAGCTTCTGTTACCATACTGTTCCTACCAGTCAGTGAATGCTGTCCAGTGGGAGGTGACAGTGGAGAGAGTCTAAACTTGCTGCGTGCTGACAATACTGGTAAGCAAGTGCTCTAACTTCTTCCAACTCCCTTGCAGTTGTGCCTTCCTCCTGAGCCTGTCTGGCCAGCCTGTCTCACAGGCCAATTCTGTTGTGGATATTTGCCCATAGGGAAGTTTATCAAGACCACTGAGGCATTTCCCACAGCCCAGCTAGCACCTCTGGTCACAATGACTTTGGAAATGTGCTCCTTTAGGTTGATTTCAATTTCCATAATGATAATCTTTCTAGCATAATTTAAAGGCATGCATGCAAAAACCAAGAGCTCTGTGTTTTCCCATGTTAATTAAGGAGTAAGTTAACAGCATCATCAACACTGTTCCTTCTCCTCAGCCCAAGGACAGCTGCACCAGAGCTCTGGCCGCAGTGGTGGTGACGCCTTGAGAAATGGCATTTCTTGCCCAGAGGGCTGCTGCCTAAACACAAACCACGTATTTATTTCCGCTGCCACCCACCTATCTGTCCAGTTATCTTCTTTTGTTTCATATGTTTAATTTTAAACCTAATGTCAAAACTCTGAGTATAAAATGAAATACATTTTGTTTAAAATACTCTGGGCAATTTTTATAGAACATCCTTTTGAAAAAAAAAAAAGTGCAGAGATCAATTTTTTTAAGTCCATCCCGCAGGCACCATCATTTAATTATGAGTGAGACATAAATTATGCATTTACACATTGTTGCATTTTCTATAAAATGGTGTGGAGATTTTTTTTGTAGTTTTTGGAACTCTCTCTTTCTTCCTGAGGGCACTTTGGAGGGAAAAAAAACTGCTGCAGGCTATACATTGATGAAAAAATTAGCATTTATCAGTATAACACCATTATGAGACCAGCATGGCACTAACATACACAAAATCTAAATCTATTTTTCTGCTTAGACTTAGGAAAACCTGAAAGACTGTGATCTCACCAGGCAGAAAATGTCTCCGTGCAGTATAAGCACTAAAGGTAATTGGGCAGAAGCAAATAATTTGCATATAATTGAACAAGAAATAAAAAAAAAAAAGAAAGAAAGAAAAAGCATCCAGATGAGCCAGCACTAAAAGGCCGTTACCTGCACTGAATTCAACCGGCAGTATCCGTTCAAAGGAAACCTAATAACGTGGGTAGGGTCTTGGTTCCAGCCTGCGTTTACGGAGTTGCACATGACGTCCCCCGTCTCAGGGAAGATCTCTTCTATCAAAGCTTTCTCCCCACTCAATGCAATTCTTTCCCCCAGATCTGGAGTCACTCTTACAACCAAGCAGTCACAAGGCTGGAAATGTTTCCTTTGTTCTTTCTCTTGTTTCCATCGCTCAAGTTCCTTAATCATTGGCTGCAGCTGGTAATACTTTGCTTCTTCATATAAAAGATTAAAGTCCTGAGAAAAAAAAAAAAAGAGAGAGAAACTAGAAATGCTTATAGTTCCCTTTTAAAAATGAGTATTGTTCCTGTTTGACCTACTTAAGCTTATGTATTGTCAGCAAGAGAGCAAAGGCAACAGGTCAGGTATCCACGTATTTTGTCATCTTACTACACCTACGCAGGAAGCCACAATGTGTTAGTGCTGAATTTATTTGAGCTGACCATGAAGTTCCCATTGCACTGAATTATTCTTTCATTTATTATCCCACAAGCTCAATGCAAGAAGGTTTTACTTGTGGATTAAGAACTCAGAATAGCTGGTTGCAATAAGTAAAGCATACTGACAAGAGAAGTTGTCTCGAGCCCTGATCTTCACTCTTGACCTCAGGTATTCACTTCTGATCTTATGACAGAAAATCTTGGATTGTGCTGTCATCCCTCACATACGTGTTACAAGGTAGAGATGGCAGTTCAGCTTTTCACCTCTCACCTGGTTTTGCCACATTTGAAATGAAGCTGCAGAGGCTGGGCTGCTCCCTGCATGATTATTCAAGCATACTTTGGAGCTTGGTAAATTATACTGCCGTAGTGACCACCCGGTGGCTGGGAGCTCAGCTGTGTTTACTCCAACAACTTGAAAGAAAGTGTTCTTTTCAGCCAGCTATCCTTAACCCAACAGGGACCTTCAGGCAATTCAAATTCCCAATTTGATCCAATTCCCAGTTAATTGATTGAGATGTCATCTGCATATGCTCATTAATAATTTTTCATCAGATTTTCAATGGATCTTCCCATCTCAGCTTAAACACGTGGGAATACGCTGAAAAGGGTGGCAGCAGCACCATCAGACCCAGCCAGATCTGAACAAGAGGGGAAGCACGCTGGGCTGGTTTGCTTGCATTGCCCCTCTGCCTCCTGCAGTTTCCTGAAGGGAAGAGAGACAACTGAGGCATGGGAGCAGTTCCTCCCTGAGGACCAGATCCTAGCTTCCTCTGCCCATTTTCAGATAGAAGTGCAGGTACAGTGGGTGACTTTTTTGGAGCATGCTGTAGGTCATCACCTGGGCATAAAGGCAACCTCAGTACAGCAGTAAGAGAAGGGAATGAAAGATTGTGAATGAAACTACAGGAATCATTTAGACTGGAAAGAAGAGAGTGACGAGAAGTTATTGGAAAATGGGCACCAAAATTGCATAAGGAAATAACTGCAGCACTTCTGCAGAACTCGAAGAAAGAGAATCAAAAGCCATTGAATGTACAGCACAAAAAGGTGCAACTTGTCAGAGCATCATGAATTAACCTGCAAAACCTGCTGCTGCAAGGTATTGCCTACAGAACCAAAGTAGTCAGCCGTGCTGGAATTTGGCACCACAGAGCCACTGCCACTAGTGGAGAGGTGCTCCTTCACCACAGCACTGCCTTCAGCCTGGAGATACATGAAAATTAACAGTGACACGAGCAAGGTTATCATGTTACAGAAGAGAAATCTGATCCTTTGCATCTCTTTGATGTCTGTTAAGGCTTGGACGATATGCACACCATTAGTGGAGAAAAAGGGACTGGAGAAGGTGCAGAGAGAAAAGAGTGATAAGAGCAAATGTGAAGAAATGAGGGCAACAAAACTTGAGAAGGATCCAGAAGATGAAAAGCAGCAGGAAGATAAAGGAGAAATGCTTTAGGAAGCACCTGGCCAGCCAAGGAGCTGCCACCACCTGGTGTCAGGTAAGAGCGTGCCAGCCTCAGTGCCACCAACGGAAAGTTTGGGTTTTTTTCCCAGAAAAATCAGCATGCTCTGCTGAGCCATTATTGCTTTTCCCTCTCCACCTCTGAAGCTCTTTGGTTACTGCATGTGGGATCAGTTTAAATCTATAGGCATTAGAGGTTTAAATTAAAAGCAAAATACAACCTCTACTCCAAACTTTCTGAAATCTTCATGCAGGACACTGTAACAAAACCATCTTCCATGCACCTGTTTGTTACAGAGGTGTGTCAAATGTTTGCTGTGAATCTGCTGGCCCTGTATAACCATTTTGAGCCAAGGAAAGCATGTGATGCTAAGGAGAAATGTAATGCTATAGGGTTAGCAGGAGCATGGAGTGCTCACACGTCAATGGAAAGTCTTCCACTGTTTTCAGTAAGTTGCACAAATTTGGTTTTGCAATATTTGTGTTCATGGCTACTATAAAATAATGTTATATGTTAGGGCAGTGAATTGAATGTGTGCTAGTAGAAACACCATTCAAAGCTATAAGAGGTGGTATAGCCTTGTAAAAATCAGTCCTTCATTTTTGAAAGCAAACAGAAGTATGGTACTCCTAAAACTCAACACACTGCTAATGCACTCTCTTCTCGTGCAGGTTTTGTAAACCAGTCAGAGAAGTGTGCAGCTGTGACTGGACCAGCAGCGATGCCCAGCTCTGCAGTGCCTTGACAGCACACTCAGGATGCTCAGGTAACACTGTCTTTCCAACCTTGCACTGTAGACGTAAAATCATATCCTGATGATTTGCAAATGTTTAACACAAAATATCAAGTACAAGAATTTAACAACAAGGGACCCCTGCCAAGGAGGTGCCGCAAGAGCTGCAAGATAGAGCTGCTCTGTGCTGTTCATTTGGATAAGTTACCAAAGGCAGATGCAAACACGAATCTTTTCAGACCTATCCAGAAAAGGCACATTTCACTGGAAGAGGAACAGGAGTAGCTACAGGATGTTAATTGCCTGGTGCAGTGGCAAAGTGCACTGTTCCATTGAAACCCAGACTCACAGCAGCTTGGTGTGTCTTCTGTTCCAGGCGTATGATGATAGATGCATACATGTACTGTACCCCCTCTCTTTCATGGAGACTCCAGTGCTGGCATTAGCAGTTTCGCTAAGCAGCTGGCAGCATCTCAAGGCAGATACGGTGTGGGATCCAGGAGCTCCTTGTCCTGCAGGAGGACATCCCTGAGTCCCTGAGTCCCTGCTAGCAGTGGTGGGGCTATTGTGAATCCTCAATAGCCTTCAACTTCTTGTGGCTGCAGTAGGACTTAGTGGGCAGATTCTGTGCTGTCACCCAGAAGACAAAGCAGGGAGCAGCCAGCTGGGAAGCACAGATTCTCCATCCTCAAATTTTGAGCAGTGTTTAGATTTTGGGTGAAGGGTCAACAGATCATTCAAAGATGCAGGTTTTTTTGCTTTTGCAAAATAATTTTCAATTCACAATGTGGTAGAAAAGCTTTTTTTTTGTGATTGATTTCGTGTTGGCTAAGTTCAGCAGTCATCTCTCATGAGGGTCACATCTTCCCAAGGAGGAGGCAGGTATCGTGACTTCAAAGTAAACTGTGCAATTGACATCAGTGCCAGTCTATCAGTAAACATCTATGAACTATGAGTAGAGGCAGCCAACAGGAATTATAAAATAAAAACATGTCTTGTATGAATCTGGTGCTGTTCTCTCAATAGGAAAGTTTATGTAATTGAGCACATAAGATTAATCCCTGAACAGGCTTTCTATTTTTTTTTTTTTTTCTTGTTATTCTTTGTTTCCATGACACGACAGGCTGTCATCCTGACTCAGCATTTCCTTTATAATTCAGTGCCTTGAAGATCTGACTCCTGAACATGAGAGCAAGCTGTCACTTCTGCTATGATGAGTGCACCATTTGCTAAGGTCAGTGTGAAAGCACTTACAACTAGACGTAGGCATGCACATTTTAAGACTGTATAATAAAGCAGATGCCACCTGACCCTACAGGTGACCTCAGTAAGTAAACCATGTGAAACTCAAATGTCCTCTGCATTTGTGCTCCTCTCCTCCTTAACATTAAACGATGATATATGTACTGCCTACATCTATTTCTGTTGGAAGATCTCTAAGCAGGGAGTGCCAGATAAGTAGGTTCAATGGGCAATCATGGTTTTGCATGGAGATGTATTTTGTGATTGAAGGGAGAAATGGTGATCATAATTGCCACGAGGCAGATATTTGGGCTGTGGATGAGAGTCAGCTCCTTTGCTGGACACCCCCTGCCCTGCAGTGTGGCAGACCCAGGGTGCAGGCCCAACACTTCACTTGAGGACGTGTCACTTAAGGTAGAGTGGCTCCACACACAGGACTCTGACCAGAGCAGGAGAAGGGAACTGTAAGCAGCTCCCAGCCACCCACCATTGCCTTGCTCAGCAGACACTGCAAAGCAGAACCGAGCCAAGAGCTCATGGTAATTTCTGAACATACTTCATGGGGCTTAAAATCCTCCAAGCCCAGGAAAATTATATGAACTATTAGAATGTTGCTTTCAGCAGGGAAACCTGTCAGATTCTAAACACTTTCAAGTTCTGGCTTATTAGTAGTTGGAAGTGTAATTAATATTCACTGTAAACACACCAGTGAGACTTGATAATAAAGAATCACTAGCCTAGGAACACATACCCCACTTTCTCTGCTTTTCAGTGTTAACTTAGTCTGAAAACAACACTTAAACAGAAAACACTGTGAGGTTGGTGTGGTACTAACATTCCAAACTTTGCAAAATAACCATTTGAGCAGCAATTCAAGTTGAAAAGCAACTTGGCTAAACCTTGAGGCTAATAAACTGCTTGATTAAATTAAGGGGTAAAAACTAATAAATATTCAAAACACTTGATAATGCTTTGTTTGACATAAAGAACAGTTAATGCAAGTCTCACTGGAAAACCTGTCAGGTTTTATACCTTAAATAGAGTTTTGCATTTAGAAACACCAAGTGATTCCATTTGCTGCCTTTGATTATTGTCTTCTGTCACTTTAATCATGCTGGTAAAATTACACAATTTCTGTGAAGTCAAATCCGTTTACAGTGCAGTTTTAATACAGCTTTGCAGTGCATTCTTCTATGCATTTTTATTTAGTTACTCCCTACCTAGCAATACTTTGCTTTGTTCTTGAGCCCTCATTAGCCTGGGGTTTGCTCTAAAGCTCTCTCAGGGAGGAACCAAATGAAGTACAGTTAACTCTATGCAAAGAGATGGTCTGGAACAACGGACTGAGTTGGTCACAGCGCCGGCTCTCCAAGTCTCTCCCAGCCCTGCCAGCGGCTCGCTGTGCAGGCAAGTCCTTGGCATCCTCTGACATTCTCCCCTCGAGGCTCTTACTGAATCCTGCTGGTTTTGTTTCACAGCACCTCTGAAATCCATCCGCCTGGCTGCTGGTCGAGACCATGATCAGGGTAAACTAGAACTCTTCTGCATTCTCTTCTCAGTCTCTCTTTTGCCACCAGATTGTCCAAAGCACTGCTGATAAAGCACCTCCCTGAGGCTGTGTCAGTACCATTGCTCCACCCATACTCTTTAATTGTTCCGTCTTGCACCCCACAGGTCTTTCGCTTCAATCCTACCCACACATTTGCTCTCATCTCTCTTGTCTTGCGTCCGCCCCTGCATGCTCTGCCTCTTCCCACGTCACAGCACCCAGTGCCACAGGGCAGCCTCCCTGGCCTGCCAGCCGCTCCCACAGAGCCCAGTGCTCAGACAGCCCCGTAGGGCTGCGCCTTCAGTCCTGCCTGGGAATGCCAAAACTTCTGCTTGGCCTTGGCAAAGGAGGTGTGCACCCACTGTGCTGAGCGTCTGCTCAGTGTCAGCTGTAAGTGCTGAGATGCCGGTGTCAAATACAAGTACGCTCATGATTTAGGCAAAAATGTCTGAGGACCGGTTTGCAGCAAGAGGATCAGCTATATGCCACAGTAACTATACATTTAGGATGACTCAGGAAGGCCTGACCAAATTACCTTGCCTACCCAGTCCAACATGAAAAATGAAATTTTACTACTGAGCACGGGAACTTTCTTTTCTAGTAGCACTCAGTGTCCTCTAAGTCCCCATTAGCATCCCAGTTTATTCATTATTTCATCCTGGAGTTAGCTCTTTTGTTGAATCTTGTCATCTAGTTTGGATAGTTTTGTCTTCTAATTTTCATACATAAGGATGACAGTGTTGCAAGTTTCATAAGCACAAAGCCAAATAAACAACGCTAGGAGGAGAGGGTTTCAACAATCAGGATTTACAAAGCAACTTGCTGTCATTATTTCATAGAAAACATGTATTATTGCTCCTAAAAGGTCTCTCAGTAAATTCTATTTCCCACCAATATTCTGACATTCATACATTGTGTAAAAGATTACTTATTGAAATCAAAGTATCTGAACTGGATATATCTAGCACAAGTCCTCATGAATTTGTTTAAGGGTGTTACTTTTTCATGCCAACAAGAAAAAGATTTATAACATTTAATTACTCTAAGTATCAAATTTAAAACATTTCTACCAGATTCTGAACATTAAACCCTGGTAAGTGCTAGTTGCTGGTGTTGATTCTTAATTGTTGTTATACTCCGATAAATAAGCTAAAAATGTGAGAAAATACAATTAGTTTAGAAAAACTGATTTAGCTGTAAGCTTCATCATTTAACTTTTTATGGTATCCATGACAACCATTGGTCTGTTTATTAAATAATAGCATCCCTAGCGTAATACACAAGTACTAAATAATCCTAACAATAAACAGCAACATTTAGCTAAGTGTGTTTAGGTCAAGCACACAAACCAACCTCCTCCAAAATAAATGATAGAATGAGGGGAAAAAATAGATTGCAGACTATAGCTTTCCTTACCTTAAAATCTTCTGGGAGCAGTAGCTTAGATGTCCTTAGGAAGCTTAATATATATCTGAAAATCTCACCATCTCGATCAATGAAATAATGTTGTTTTAAACTGTCCAAGACAATAGGCTCTGTGCCATTAAACAGACGACTTATTCTGAAAAAAGAAAAAGAAAAAGAAAAAGAAGTGGGCAAAAGAGACAAAATCTCATTCTCCCCTCAGGGTGTAAAAACATCCACTCAATATAGCTGTATCAATTCAGTGTGCATAAGGTAATGCAGTGTCTTCATTGGGTGGCAAATGCAAACAAACGTAGGAAGATAGACGCCTTGGATGCGTGTGCACACACACGCGCACGAAGTGCCCGCTGGCAACTGCTCCTAGCACAAAGCTCACGTTGCTGTGAATCAGCGCTGCAAATTAGGCTCACAGCTCCAACATGGGAAGTGCCCGTGAAACTCACCCTGTGGCTGGCAGGACAATTTCTGGAAGAACGTATTATTGGGTAAGTTATAAACCCCTGTTCTCAGGTACCATTCATGGAGTGCTGGGATGTCACTCAGAGATGGGCTCCTGGATTTCTCATCAGCTGCGCTGCCATTCTGATCAACACCATCAAAGCACTTCCACATGAGAGAGGAGGATACCCATGCATTGTCATGAGCTGTACGGACCCCTCCGTGCTGAATGTTTTTGGCAAACCAGCAGCAAGGGTCCATACAGCCCCACCAGTGCCCTACGTACCGGCCTCTGTGGGGACAACACAGCCTGCCAAATGCTTCCTGGGCAAAGACAAGGGGTGAGGCCTGAGAGCACAGGTCCAGCTGGGTAGGTGTGAGCAGAACCAAACACTGCATCTGCTGCACTGTGCAAGTTTTCTCCATGTCCTCCTGACAGCACAATGCAGGCTGGGTGTTTGCTAGGCTACACTTCCTCATGCCTCTCCTCTCCAAATGTCTGGCTTCTTTCAGAAGGCTTTGTCTTCCCATGAGAAATAACCCAGCTGAATATATGTTCTTGAAAGGAAAATCACAGGAGACAGACAGCAACGACCTATTAAGTAATTGAGTCCATCTCTCTGACAGTGCAGCATTGTTCTCAACTGCAGAATGTCTCGTGTTTCAAAGTCGAGTCTTCAATAACCCTGCCAGTGAGGACTCCACCATTTCCCAGTGAGACTATTCCACAGCCCGCTAGATTTCACTGTCGAGTGTCCCTTAGGCTCGGCTCTGCAATCCACCAGTATCCCCCACTGCCACCAGGGAAGGGCTTTTCCCTGCCGTGGAAAGGAGCCCACCCAGCCACTGTGCGAGGTGATGGCCAGCACTGCCAGCGAGCTCAGCAGCTGCAGCCTGGCTGCTCCTGCTCCCCAGCCCTGCAGAGAGTGCCCAGGGCATGGCTGGGATGGTGAGCATCAGCCCATGTGCTGGAGGACAGTCTTGCTCACAGCAGTGCAGATGCTTGCAGCTGCCCTGTGCTCAGCTTGTTTTGGACTGTGGGGTCTTTGTGGGTAAAATTTGTTCTCTGCAGCTGGCCCTCAGTCTGATCTTCCAACTTTTTGATGTAGTTATAAATATAATTAACATGCCATTAATTTCTAAGTTAATTGTGGAGATACTAAGTTAGCAATTTCCTACTGAACTCAGCTAAAAAACCTTTCTCCACTCAAATGTACACTCCAGGTTTTGCTGCTTGCTCTCATTCCCTTACATCTGTACTAGCATTCAACTACTCTGAGTTACTTAGAATAATCAAATGCTTCCCTAAACCCTAATTGTAGTATATTTACTGTCTTTCTCCATCCTCTAACTTTCTAACTGTATCAGAAAAATCCAACTCGCACTGCAACATTTAATTTATACAATCCCAAGGTTCAGCAAGCCTCCAGTAATTCAATATTTTCCTTGTTATTTGAGGTCTATTTGCTTGAGACAGCTAAATATATTGCTTCATACAGAGCTAAATTTCAACCCAGGAACCAGACAGTTAATTTATTTCCTTAGACATGCACAGAGCCTGGGTGCTGTTCTGGGCTAGCCTGAAAGCCGATAAAGTAACTTAATGTTTCAGTACAAGACATTCATTATTTGTGTGGCTACCAAAAGTTTTGAGAACTCATCTTTCCCACTTACTCCCTAAACAAGCTGGGCTGTGGCTTAAACCTCCTCCTGCTGCAGCCCGTTAAGTCTGCAAAAGCAAAGCAATGGCTGTTGTTCAGCTCCTTGGTGCATATGGGGGAAGGTTTGCCAACAAAGAAAGGATGCAGGGAAGACAGGATACAAAATGCTAATGGGTTGCTCTTTAATGTAGTGAAGCTTTTTTCTTTTTCTTTTTTTTGTTTTTTTGTAATGAAAACAAAACATGAATTTTGAGGCCTTTGTAGAGTGCCTTGAGCTGTATTTCTTCACCAGCAAAATTACTGCTGGGGAAAGAAACTTACAGAGTGTTGAAAGACTTAACTGCCACCCCAAAAACAGAGTGATGAATAGTTTGAGGATTTATTTGACATATTTTAGGGGTCTGCTATGTTCCAAGAACAAGCTTCACTGCAGCATTCTGAAACACTGCATGTGGAAAGTGCTCCTGTTTATCCTGCCTCATCAGCACAAGCTGTACCTGCAAAAAGCCTATCAGAAAATGCAGTTCTGCGAGAACAAAAAGTGAACCCAAATGCCAGCTTCCAGAAGCTCTGATGCACTGGCTTTACTCCTGATTGGCAAAGCTGTGGAAGCACAGCGAACAACAGCTCTGCTATCAGATGCACTCAGCAACCTGCTCTCAGGCTGCACAGCACACACCACTGCATGCAGATGTGGGGACTTGCTGCAGCTCTCGGATTGCACAGTGGTCATCCCAAAATGTTTGCTTTTATGAGCAGTGCTGGTGCATAATACTTTAAAACTTCATTTTCCTGGAGGAGCCACTTGCTTATAGCACATGAGAACGGTGCTCCCAGTGAAGTGGAAGGCAGAGGAAAACAGAGCAAGGCAAAAAGAGCTCCGCTTAGATCCTATACAGATAGGTGAGTCTCAGCAGTGAATGTTTCTTCAGTACTCCCACCTTTTAAGAGATTGTTCACTTTCGCATTTAAAAATGCTTTTAATTTTTTTCCCCTCCCCATATTTCATTTCTGGACAGCAGCCCAAGCCAGGATCAAGCAAAACAGTCCCAGTGTGCACGCTTTCCCACTGCCTTCACCTTCCACCTTCCCAGCCAGGTCCAGCTGTGCTTTGCACTCTTCCAGCCACATGCTTCTCTCACAGCTGTTCCTGCCTTCTAGAATCCCTCCCTGCCACCCAGTCCTCCATGTGTGCCTACCCAGCCCCTCACAGAGCTCCAGCTCCCAGCCCTGCAGAGCTGGATGAGGAGTGAAATGGTGCCGAGCCTGCAGATGGATGCTTCTAACCCCTCTTCCCAATGTCCAGAACACATCCTGTTGATCCTATTTTTGCAGCTTCTTTGTGCTTCAGTTGTTTCTGCTAAAGACTCTTTTACATTTTCAATAACGTTTTGCCAAAATGCCAGGGGGCAAGTTTCTAGCTTTATACCCATTTCACTATGATATTAAGGCCTCCTTTTTTATTAGATCAAAAACAAACAGCGCAGCCAGCCAACCCACAAGGACAAGAGTAAATTCTTTCCTGAGTTCCTTGGACAGGGAAGGAAGCTGTGTGCTGTGTGTGAGCACCTACAGAGACCCACTGCCACCCACACCCCTGACAGCGCTCCTCCCTGCAGTCCACCCAGGACCATGCAGGCTGCCTGCATCAGAGCACAGCTGGGGAGGATGCATGGGGACACCGAGTCCAGAACCTGCTGCAGCCCTCACCACACACAGCCTCATTCACAGACCGACCCAAATCCATCAGGGAGTAGCCAGGGCTTTTTGCTCTCTGAAGCACCGCACATTCTCAAGATTGCTGCCCAGCAGTGCAGCGCAGCTGGGCTTTGTGCATCACCAAGCTGGAAGTAAATAGCATTTGGGGATGGATGAGTGTTTGGGAGGTGGTGGTGCTTTCTCCTTTTGGGCTAGATTAGTCATTTTCTTGATAACTCTCTTTTTGAACAGAAAACTGAAGTTCTTTCCTAACAGATCTGATCCCAGGGGCCTTAAGAGGAGCACAAAGTACAGGGGGACCTGCGGGAAAATGAAGCCAAGTATCCACCGAGCCTCCACTGTTGCACCTTGCTCCCCCAGCCAGCACAGCCACAGCACGTGAGTGACAGCCTTTATCACAACATTGCAGTAAAAGTATTAATTTAACTAATTACGTGATTAATATTTAACCGTTCAGTGATATTTTTGTCATTCATAATTCAGTTGTTTGCATATATTAAAGATTTATTCTGTAGACACTTTCTGCCCAATGTCACATCAGCAGGGAGTGTGCATTACAGAGGACTGTCATTAAATGTGGCTCTCTTCCATTTTTATGGAAAGAGCGGGGAAGAAAAGAGGAATGCTTGTGGTGAGCCCCTCCAGCATGTGGGGCTGCACTCTGCTTGCTTCCCTGCTCCATCCCTGCTCCATCCCTGCTCCCTTCCACTCCTGTTGGGCTTACAGAGCTCTGCAGCTCCTCCTGCACCATGCAGGCTCTGCTGACTGCATGCAGCTCCTGGCTGTTATGAGGCTGCAGGAACAGAGGCTGTGTGAGGTGCAACAGGGAGAAGGAAGGGGGTTGTTCAGAGCTGGAACAGAGCTGAGGCAGCCGCATCCAGCATGACCTGAAGCCACCCTGCTGCATGTGTTAGCACTGCTGGGTGTGTAAGTGGAGTCCAGCCACTTCTGCTGAGCCATAAGGGATGCTTATCTCCTAAATATTTGTTCAAGGTGGGTATGATACATATTGTTTTCTGCTTTGTTGCAAAAAACCGCTGTGAATGGGAGCAGAGGTGCTCAAGAGACTGGAGAGTACCACAGTATCTGACACGGCTATCCAAGCAGCCAGGCAGTTTGGTCCCTGGGTGAGGGACAGGAGGCATGGCAAGAGGAAGGACAGGGAGAACATGGCCACTGTCCCCTGCCTCCTGCTCCAATGGCAGCCAGGAGGGAGGGATGGTAGAGCAATTAAGCTGGGACTCATGCTCCCTCATGCCCCAAACTGCCAGGAATGTGGCTAAAGGTTGCATATGGCTGCAGAAGTTTTTCTGATTTG